CATGGCTATTAATGGTTAGACTATTGGTAAACATTTTGCTGTATTTATTTTCCTAGCACAGCCCCATCTTACCATTAGTCATGCTCTGATTGCTTAAATGTTTAGGTGATGTTCAAGTTGTATGATCTTCTGTTTAAACACTCATTAACAGTAATGGCGTCTGCTAAAGTTAGGCAAGCCTTGTTTAGGCGTGATAGGTTTTTTAGAGCAAGGGCTAAAGCCAGGAGCAGAGGAGCCAATGTGGCAGAGCCAGACTTTAAAATTGTTCTTTGTGGGACAAATAAGGACATTATAGACCTACAGCCAATATTCAGCCAAGGTCCTGTACAAGATGGCTGAGAGATACAAGTTGCACTTCTCAAAACAACACTTTTACTGTGTCCCCATGATATGGGCAATCTGCACCTGTTCCCTTGAACCATAATGCCATAGTGTTCATATTCATAAGTCAACATGGATGGAGGTAGATTGGGTAGCCCTTGGTCAGGGAGAAGCGACAGGAGGTCCAGTCTGACCACAACTGGCTTAACTCTCCTTAAAATTTTCGGTTGTTGTCTATGTAACATTTCCCTGCTCTCTGTATTGTGCTGATCAGCTCCTGATGTGTACATTAAGGTACCACCTTTAGTTTAGCAGTAGGAGAAAACTGTCTCCATGATCACGTTTTAGCTACCCTGACACTCGCACATAATCGCACTTTGCTCCACAAACACGTAACTGCCTCATCCTTGCCCAACCCCTTGCACTGGATTCACAGTGTCTGTGCTTGTGCTGTGCCTGGCTGCTTACTGTGCTTCGCTCTACCTGAGCTGCTTTCACTTACACTGGCTAAACAGTAGAGCTTTGCTGCAACGTGCCTGCTTAACGCATGCCCAGCTTGCCAATCTCTCTACCCTTTGCTGTTGTCCTGTTGATGTCATTTAGGGGGCTTGGAGGTTTCTAAATCTATTTGTGCTGTTCTCTTTTGTTTCCTTCCACTTCACAGGTGTTAATCCATTGACCTCCATTTCTGCAGAGAACAATGACCATTGCGTGGATATCCTGTCATTTCCCCATTCATTGTTTTCATACTTCCATATTTTTTTTCTTTTTATATTATTTTAGGTTATTTCAGAAGCATAGAATTCTGGAGCTTGGGGAGCAGTTAAAATATTTCCATTGTTTGTCTTTCCTATGTCATCTTTTTGACAGTGAAGGTTAAGAAGTAAAAGTTTAGTTGATAATAAAGGAAGAATGTAAAAAAAATAGATCTGTCTAATAAAGATGCTTAGTGGAAACGCCCAGCATTGTTTTGAGAAGACATCTGACAAACATTAGACAGTCTGAGTTAGAAGAAATATTTATTTGCCTTGGTGTTTTAAAGTCGATATTTGGATTGAATAACTCACTGTTTTCATGTATGGCTGGGGACTCCAATGGCACCAGTATTCTTAAAGCCAGCCATAGATGGATTGATTATTGGCAGGTACTGCAAGGACTGGCCAATATTCAATCCATCTATGGGCAGGCTGATTGTACACAAGGTAAAACCAACATGTCGAGTTTTTAAAATGCAATTATTGCCAGCAGCTATAGCTGCTAGTAATAATCATTGTGTTCTCCCAACACAGTAGCTCTGCTGGAGGGATTCTCCCATCAACACTGACTGTGTTGATGGGGCGTTGAACCATTTTCTTTCCTGCAAAAAAAATCTCACAATCTTTGGCTTGCCTAACTCTACTCCATCTGTTGGGCCAACTGTGGACATGAGGTGGTGATCAGATTTTCAAACTACCAAAATATCTTTCATAAAAAAGATCTTGACGTAAACCAACACCAAGACGACATGTTGCTGGCCTAATCCAATATATTAGAAAAATCTTTTAGATTTGGATTCTCTAGCCTTCATCTTTTGTCTATGGATGACCTTGGAGTTGTTATAAGGGGGTTTCAATCTCCCAGTTGGATTTGGTATTTGTTTTCATTGACATTCGAATCTAGTGGGATATTTGACACTCCATGGCAAAGTACCCTGGAGATCCAACCTGAGGGTTTGCCCAGAGATGAAAGAAATCAGTGGGTAAATTGGCCCTCTTGAGTTCACTTATGGGATTTCTTGCTTGGGTGAATTACTCACCTATCTATGCTCCTATGCCGCCTCCCATACAATTGGAGCCTTCACTTTATTGCTTTTACCGATGCGGGCTTTCAGGTATGGGACAACAGCTGGTGATATTCCCCATGTGCTAGGGTCTGAACGGTCAAATACCAGGCCAGAACACTTGTCACATTGGGAAGGGGTGGCTGCGACACCGCCCACCAAGTTAACCTATGACGCTGCAGTTTTTCCAGGGTGGCTCCTTGGCATGGAGGTTGTGAGGGAACATGGATTCATGAGTATTTCTTGCTGAAGAGTGAGCGATCAGGGAATATGGTCATTCTACTTTTAATGGTCAAAGTAACAGTGTCACAATAAATCAAACCTGTATTTGCACAATCAGGGCTAGTTATTTAATCCCCTCATTGCCAGCTGCACATACCTACCTTTCCATTGCTCCCCCCACTCCGTTCAACACCAGTAGCAATAGGAACTACCTCATATTTGGGATATGGAGAAGCATGTAACTCACTCATATGACAGTGGTGAGTTAGTTGGCACTGTTACAGGGCAGTCCATAGCATTGAGAGTTTTTAATTCAGTGACTTCTAGCTTACACAGGACTTTCCTTTCACTCCTGGTCGACTGAATGGAGCAGAGGTAGAGCAAAAGGTAAGTACTCTGTATGCATCTGTGGAGGTCTGCATGGGCAAACCACAGATTCACTTTAAAGTAAGCCTCTTGGTACAAACAGTGAGTTTGTCATCTTTCGGTGAAGCTTCTCTTTATTGCTCCCTAAGTATAGGTCCAGGGCTTGGGATCAGCAGGTACCATTGGCATTCTGGCTATTAGGCTGGTTCGTTATGACGTGCCCAGGTACTGTTTAGAAGAGGGAAGCATGTACTACAGAGTCGAGAGCTGCTGCTGTTCACCATATTTGATCCCCAGAGAACAGCCCCAAAGTTTTAAAATTTTCCCTGATTAGTCTTGTGCCTACAAAGTTTTACATTATTCAGCTGTTTCATAAAATGTCCCCTTTTTTAACATATGAAAATCTAGTTTTTTGTAATGGTAGATCATTTTTATAGAACATTTAAAGAGTCGTAAACCGATGATAGTTTATTTTAGTGGACTAAATAAAATCTAGTGATAATTTATGGCCTTTGGAGATAGCATTGTGCTTGATATGCCTACACATCCAACAGGAATCCATACAAGTGATGAAAAAATGTAAACCTGGTAAGAAATAATTGCTTAGTTGGCTTCAGTAATTAGTTAAAGAATATATTAATATGCCTTTGATTTTGGGATTGTTTGGCTAAGTTTTGGCTTAAACAACAAATCTAAAATAATTTAATAATTCGACTAGAGATTTGTGTTCTGGATCTGTATAGTAAGGTGCCATCATTTCCTAGTCTAAGGGGCCATCTGCTTTGTGGAAAAAATGGACACTGGATTAACTTCCCACTGTGATCCACCACTGTGCCATTGGCTGGATAAACCTCCGTCCACACCAATGTGACTTGTCGTGATTTGACGTTTTAAGTTGCATGGCAAGTTGCACCTTATTGTCGGCAATGGAACCATTCAGATCGGTGCACCTCCAACTTTGTGGTGCTGCACCAATTTGAAAAAACAGTTCCTGCACTATTTGTACAATTTCAGGTGCGACTTGCATAGACATCTGTGTATGAAGTTGCATAAATGTCTTACAAGTTTCACCCAAAGTCGCACTGACATGGGACTTTGAAATCGAGCTACTTCGAGTGAAGCCACATGATTTCAAAGTCATATTCTGTGTGAGCCAGGGCTAATGCTGTTTTTGTAGCTCATCTGAATTGGGTGTAAAGCTGAGCCATGAAGTCTGCCAATTGAAATAGGTAGTGTCCTTAGTCACCATGAAATTTAGATAAAGGTGATACTATGTACTGTGTTAAAAGCAAAAGATGCAAGTGTAGTATTTCATGTCTGCTGGAATCTGGTATGGTAATAAAACATCCTTCAAGGGTGAGTCCACCTGAAATAGATTTCTCATTTTTGGTGAGTACTGGCAGGTTGTAAAACTATAAAATACCTCAATATTACACCTCCTGTGCTGTGGACATACACTACTGCGTGGCTTCATTTTGATCAGTGTTCTATGCCCCTTGAGTGTCTTCCCAGTGGAAGAAAGAGGACTCCTGCACCCAGCAGCACATGCCTTCCCTTTGGTTTCCTTCTTCTCCATTTGTCCACCAGACATGAAGAAAAATCCTTGGTACTTCCCAGTTTATAGAAGCATGTGACTCGCTCTGCTGTCTCACATGTGACGGTTCAGATGTTTGGCATTGGCTTCTCAGGCACCCAGTGCTGCCACTTTGGGGTGCGAGAGTGAGAGCTCAGCTCTCTGTAAGCTCCAAGAGAGGGCTTTCTCTCTTTACTCCCAGCAGCTGAGCTGTTTTTCGTTTGTTAGATCTCTGTACTTATTATATCTGGTCATTTGTTTTGTTGAATCCACCTAAATATGACTTTTGGATGGATACATGAAGCTGAATAACCCACTGACTCCTTGTGTGTCTGGAAGCTTCTCAGTTGTATGATTTCTCATGAAGGCAATTCCAGATTTTGCATTCTACACCATGAAGTCTTAATCCTGTCCAGTCTCTCTAATAAATCCACATTTTCTACTGGGCAGAAATTAGCTCAAAACTTCAACACCTAGCCAGAAACAGAAATAGCTATTTTCAGTGGCCTGAACTGTTAAGTGCAGATAAGGATTACTGTTGGATAGAGCAATTTAATTTATAGTTCTAAGAACTGCTAGGCAATATTAAGATGAAAAAATTATTTCACGATACTTGTTCCTTTCAGTGGCTTGTGTTTGAGAAAGGGGAGGTTGAATCAAATTTATGTCTCTAATTTTTTGTGTTCTCTCTTTTTTCAGTACACCTCCAGCATGCGAGCAAAGTATTTGGCCACTAACCGCCCGGAAACAGACCCTGGGCACTAAGTGCGGGATCCAACAGTCTTCAGATAGATCTCAACCTGCTGTGTTCCTAAAGTGTGGGTCAATGCGTCCCTAAATAAATGTCGCCATTCCCAGGCACCCCCAGCCTTTGAGCCTTGCCTTCAAGCCCCGCCTCCTATGTGCAAACAGCTTGGAAGAGTCCAACACAAGTGTCTTGGGATATCACAAATCGTTGACCTCAACATGGAATTCAACCTTTGATTTACATGCAGCAATCTCATTGCAAAGTTTTTATCACCTGAATTTGACATCAGGCCCTTCAAATAGCTGTGGTTCGTTGCCATAAAGTCACTTTAGTTTTTTTTTTTTTTGTTTTTTTTTTACTTTAGTTTTTTTTTTTTTGTGTCAGAATTTATGAAAAGAAGTCAGATTCTTTTTATGTCTTTGTCTAAAATGTGCAATTTTGTTTTAATAATGCAGCGGAATACATAACATTTTTTTCTACTCTTATTTTGTGGCTGCCTTTTATATTCAGTTATTGTTGTATAATGCCGATATTTTGATGTCAGTGTTATGTATATCCTTTTTAAAACCAATGACTCGTGATATTGTAAATTATGGGCAAGGAGACGTAAATTATACATTAGGCAATGTAAAAGAGCATTTAGAGGGTAGTCCTACCCATAGCAGATTGTGTTTTGACTGGGACGAGGCTTGATCACCCATTGGATAATTAGTGCTGCTTAGGACCCCTGCAGAAAGCTCTACTCCAATGCCAACAAGTATCTGATCCAAACCGTTTTTTTGTTTGGACTCTCTATAAGAATACTTGCAGAACAGTGTTCAGTGCCACATGTAGCTCATGGGAAACCCAAGCCTAGCCCACCCCTGCCATGCAAAGGAATGGGAGAGGTCTTTTTCTGGGGTCCTGGAGAGCATTGAAGTTCTGGCAGAAGAACCAACCCTCCTTAACCTACCCAAAATGGAATAGCGCTACTGCATAACATGTTATGGTCAGAACAGCTTTTGATTGAAATACATTTTTGGCATTTTTCCTTTAGACTGCTAATTTCTTCTACAAAGATCCCAATAAAATATACTGCAGGCAACTTGTGCTAAACCTAGCTAAAAATGGATGATGAAAAATAAGCCACACTTCATCCTTCGAAAAGTGAATTTAGTGCCAACTCTCAAGTTCTTGATGGCTATAGGAACTTTTACTTACATATTTGTGATTTATGACAAGCTCCTTTACAGAACTGTAGCCTATTTATTGGGTTGACTGATCCTTTAAACTATGTCTAATGAATAACCAAAAATTGCAGCTAATCTTAAAGCTTTGTTACCCATTGATAGAGCTACGAGGACATTCCAAAACCTACAACGTTATTCTCTAATATATTTTACTTTTTCTGTTGGTTTAAGACCAGTATCATTGATTTTATTCTGATCAAACTTCTTGCCATAAATAGATCTACATTACGTTGTGGTATTAAGATTCACAAGATAAGATTCTTGCCAGTTACTTCAAACCAAATGTCACTTTGGTTTTCAATCTTAAGCTGAGAATTTAAACTTTATTTTTTTGTTAAATTACCACTCATCAGTTTTCTTAATTTATGATATTTTGACAGTGAAAATGACCACTTTAGCCCTTCCATTGGGTAGCAAGGTAGTTAGAGTAAAAATCTACCTTTAAACTGAAAAATTAGCTATGGGTTGATGCTTTTAAAACACAAGCTGAATGCTTACTTAGCCATACGACTTCGACAAAGAGGTTTTAGCAGCTTGAGCCGTCCGACTGTCTACTCCCACACAAGCCATTTTTGTAGGTCAGAGGATAGCATGTCTGTGCTCAGTCTACGTAGGTTACAAGGTGCATTTGTGGGTACCCTCACCAGAGTACATGTGAAATCTGGTTACAAGGTACTGACATAAAAAAATATGACAGCTGTCAATACTGACTTGTGTTTTTTGTTTTTTTTTGTTTTTTAACATGCATGGTTCAAGGGTGATGTACTTATGGTGGGTTCGCTAACTTGGAACATCTGTTAATTCCTGGTCCATGTCTCCATGTAGGGAAAAGCAACAAGTTTGTTTTAATGCCCCCCTTCCCTACAGCATATAGCATTCCTGCATTCCCCCATGTTCTGTTATGGAAAGAGGAAAGGTTTGGATTTGCTTCAAATCATACTAGTAACAACTGACATGGGACTAGGGACTCTGTCTTTGTCCTGGTTTGAGAGAGATGGACCAAGCACAATCACATTTGTGGAAGCAGAGTGAGCTACGTGCTCATAGGTACCAGGTATTTCCATTGTTCTTGGCATTAGAACAGGGGGTTAGGAAAGGGAAGGTGAGTGTAAGCTTCCACTTAGGGGGGCATTAAAGTAAACTTGTTGCTTTGTTCTACGTCATGAAGCAAAGATGGGGATCTCAGCCTTGAAACATGCGTGTTAAAAAATAATAGTAGGCAATGGCAGGTCACATATTTCTGCTTTTTGAAGGTTACCAATAGTTCACCAAGAAAGCCATAAAACAGTTGGTGCCCCAACCTGGACTGACTTCTTGCTATTTGATGGGTGATAGACCAGCAAGTAAGCAGAAATCTCTGCAATGTGGCTACATTCAGCAAACAAAGCCATTGTTTAGCTGTCTGTTGTGATAGGGGAGATCCCCTCTCCTTTTCCTAACCTGTCCATGTGGTCGGTGTCGGACAGAACAGGAAGTGAGGGGAATTCTCCCCGATAGGAACAAATCAGTGTTAAAACCCTATTTAAAACTAGAAAATAGTTTTGATGCCATTATGCACTGAGGAAGGGCCAATTGCCTTTATATGTATTCCATTAGGTGGGAAGTCCTATGGCTCAACTGCCAAAGATCTAAAAACATTAAGCTTGTTTTTTAAAGGTGTCCTTGTCTAGCTAGAGCCTATTTTTCATGTTTTGGTAGAATTTTTTGTTTTTAAAGCCAAATTTTTACACCATTCATGATGATGGCGTATATTCCAGCATGTTTCCCTGTGTATCCTTTCATGTTATACCCTATATTTCAGATATTTTTTCCAGCTGACGAGTGTCTCATGGTATAAACCCCCCATGTGTATTGTGCAAACATCTTGCATGATGCATGACCACTTTCCTGTTTGATTATGGATACTGTACGTGGCACTTGTAGCCATGGCCTTATTTAAGGACACATGCAGCATTCACTAACAAATAGCCAGTCAAGTTTGTTCCCTTTAGTGATATCAGATATAAAGATTTCACTGTAGGATACTTCACACTATGGCTTTTTTGCACTGTTCTTAAATAAGGTCAAGTGTCTCACTTTTTGCTTGGATACATGGATAGGGATAAGAGTTGCCTTTACTTGGAAGCCTGTAAATTGATTCATTTTAAGGTTTACTACCTCCTGTAACCAACATACTGCATTTACTCCCCTGTCTCTGCTGTATGTAGCTATAGGATTATAATCATATTTTTGTCAAGGTGACATACTTATTTTAAAGTGTTTTATTGATATTTTGTTTATTGTAAAACCTGTGATTCTTACTGCATCTTAAAATTTCACAACATAACCTAGTGCTGGTGGTGACATTCTGCAAACTTTACAGGCCAGTAAAAAAAAAAAAATGTAAAGACTGGGGAAGGGTTAGGCCCTCTCCAATGTTTTCATTGCTTTCTCTTTCCCAGCTGGGCAGAGTCACCCCTTTATTTATCACTAAGAAAATGATAGGAGTTGTCATCAGAGCAAGAAGTGAGGGAAAATCCATCAATTTGGATTCAGGTTCCTATGACAACTCTATACAATGGCAATTCTGTTTTACTTTAGATGATTTCCTAGCATTACCTGTATTGTCTCCAGCGGGTTACAGGCAGCAAAAAAAATAAAAAAAGCTAGGCTTTCATAAATTGGAAAACCTTTCATTGGAAGAATTTAATATAGCATATTCAATTACTTTGCAGGTGGTTTCATAATTTTCTGCTACTGTAAATGATATCACCTACTCAGTCTTCATCTTCCAATGATTTCTGTGACCAAAAAAAACTCAGTTCCTTTTTCATTGGAACTATGGCAACAGTATTACTCATCTCTGGAATCCTTGTCCTCTGGCTTCTGTGCTTGGCTCACGGTCTTTTTCAGAAGTCTATACAGAACTTGAGGTCAAATTATATGTACATTTTTGCACAAAGTATAGCGCTCGTTGGAATGTCCATCTCTGCTTTAGATGTTAGTTGGTGAGAGCAATGCCAGGGTTAAGTGTGTACAGTATTCAGAACATTTATAGTAAAAGTAGAACCTCCTACCTAATCATCACAAGAGTTCAGAAAGTGCACAAGCCTGTTTCTTTGTTTTAAATAACAGAAGCAGGTAGGAGCCGCAATAAAGTTTTCTAAATACTTGCAATGTATTGTGTTTTTCTGAACAAAAATGGATTTTTATTTTAACTTAATTTTCCAACAGAAGAATTCCCTACTTTAATTGGTAACATCTTTATGTTTACTGGCCCTTAAAGTATGTAGTTAACTCTGCGCACTAATGATGGAATATACTTTTATACCATAATTACACTATTTTACCACTTACAACTTTTTTTTCTTTCATTGGAGGAAATACCACTCCTGTATATTATGGATAATTTATTTTTCATCCCTTTTAATCTCATGGACATACCTGAACCACAATATAGAAGGACACCTTGTAAAATCTGGAGTGCACTGAAGCCTCATGATCTACAAACCATCCATAACTGGAGATTTTAGACTTAAATCACTGGTGCTAAAGATATTGAGTCTAACTTTAAACCATAGCATTGCCGACTGTCAGGTCCCGAAAACTCTATGGATTAGCAGTGGGATTTTTTTTTTACAGTGATTGTCTTACTACATGGGAAATTATATATCATCAACGTATCTGACTTCTCTTCTCTTTCATCATGATGACTCCCTTTTAATAATAAAAGCAGAACTTAAAATTCCACCCAAGAATTCAGATTTTCTGTCTTGCTTCTGTTCTTAATGGTTTGGACCACAGAAAGT